GTGGAGGACGAGGGTGGGGGTGGGAGGGCGAGGGGTGTGGTGTGGAGGGTGAGGTGGAGGACGAGGGTGGGGGGTGGAGGACGAGGGGTGGGGGTGTGGAGGGTGAGGTGTGGGAGGGCAAGGGTGGGATGTGGAGGGCAAGGGTGGGATGTGGAGGGCAAGGGTGGGATGTGGAAGGCAAGGGTGGGGTGTGGAGGGTGAGATGTGGAGGGCAAGGGTAAGGTGTGGAGGGTGAGGTGTGGAGGGGAGGGTGAGGTGTAGAGGGTGAGGGTATGGAGGGCGAGAGTGGGGTACGTACTTGGGCTCACAGATGGATATCTGAATGTTGGTATAGAACTTCGTCATAGAAAGGTGGATATCTGTTGTGTACATGAAACTATATGAGGAGGAGGAGGGGGAGGATCAGCAAGGTAGTTTTGGGTAAGAATGACAGGTACAAAATCTTCTGGTTGGGTAAGTGATTCTGGGTTCTTAGGTGGTGCTGGGATTTTGATTAATAAATAATGGGTGTAGCTATCCTGTTGTACAGAAAAATATAAGACAATAAAACTATACCACACATAAAAATATATTTACTCTTGTCACTCCTGCTTCTACACTTCCCTGAGGAGGTCAGTAAAGTCTAAACACCTTCAGTTTTCTTTATTTGATTATATTTAAATATGTTTCATAAAAATGTGAGTATACCAGTGTTGGTACCAAAGACATGAAAGCATTGAAAATAAATCACAGAATATGTTGGCAAATAATAAGTTACAAAATACTAGTTGCTGCTTTTTCTTGCCTGTCACTGCAAGTACAGATATCTATATTACAGTTAAGTGACCCACGAGTCTCCTTGAGTAATCTTCCTCAGGTATCTCAAGAAAAAAAAAACAATTAACCCAGGGAAATGGACCCATGACCCTACATCACACTTTCTCTTGCATATAGACAGAGCTACCAGTTCCCAACTAAAAATATACCCTAAGGAAAGTTTGTTGCTTATATGTTTTTTTTATTTTTACAAGATGAAACATTTATGACCAATGCAGTACTGTACAGTACAGAACTGCATCTTTCAAGTTCGTGGGGATATAACATTATGTCACTATTGAGATGGTCTGTCACACTCATTACAAAATTGTGGAGGAAAGTAGTCATTAAAAACTTGTAAAGTTCTCTGGCTGATTTAACAAATGCCAAGTTGCTTAGGATTGTTATCAAATTCAGACATTACATTAGAATTCATGCACTCTTAAACCTCTCATCTGTGACCCCTCAATGGTCATACGCTAATTGTCATGTACTGTACTGTACCTAAATCAGCATTTACAATCTTCATTTATTAATATATTTTCTCATATTTGGGACCTTACACAAAATTATGGTAATACTGTTACTTTAAAAAATGGGAATGACATCTGGCAAAATGGGCAATTATAAAGACTATATCTAGTGGTAGTGATTAATAAGACTTCTCATAAAAATCACAATAAAAATTTCTACGTCAATGTCCATACAAATTTCCTACACAGTGTTTAGAGCTTACCTGTACAAGGACTAAAAAGTCATAATGGATGCAAAATTTGATCCAAGGGTCTTTTAACGAGACACTCCCTTATATACTTGCAATGACAAAGCTGTGAGAACAGGATAATTCCAAGCATCCCGGGCACGAATGGCAGAGGACTGAACTGTCACATCCATCAACCTTGGCTAGGTCTCCATACTACATCTTTATTAATTAAAAATATTGGTTTTATGAATTAAAACAAATTAAAAATCAATCCCATAAGACACATTTCTGGTCTACTATGATCACTGTAAGGCTGAGACAACGGACTAGTGAGGTGTTTTAAAATAAAATATTGAAAAACATGAATAATTAATGACCTGAATAATGTTTTTTACTACTCCGACATAAATTTTTATACAGTGTACTAGCAACTCAAAATTCTTTGTCTTACACTGTAGGTTATGCAAGAGGAACAGTATACACTGTAGATGACTGTCCCATAGTGATGGTCAAGATAGGAACATGAATAGTACTCCTGATCACACTAATTATCATTTTTCAATACTCCCTCTTTTTAAAATATTCATTAAGTTTACTAAATCAAATACATGAATAATTACCTTCCATCAATATTCACAAGATAAGCTACCGGTTACATTTTAATTTTCTGTTGGATAAACTGAATACAGTAATCACCAAGAGCTGAACACTGGGCAAAAAGGATACCACTTCACGGCATCAAGACGTGTGCTGGGTATGTGTCCAGGGGTGGCAGAACAACACAAGTCTACTGATTTTCCAATGTGGAAAGTTGCTACTCTGCACAGACTCAACAACCCCACGGTGTATGTAGCTGTCCTCATCCCATCACAAACTTAGTAAACAGCCTATCTCACACTATGTCATAATTCATTACTGTATACTGAAAAAATATATAAACAAAATAATAAAAAATATATTTATCCCTTCCTCATTAAAAACAATGGTCAGCAGTTAGTTTTATACACACCAAAAATAGGTACAATGTCATTGCAATGAATACAATGTACCCCAACACACACTGTGGTATCCTGCAGACTGCACTAAGTTCTCTCTGCCCTACCATACCAAAAAAAAAGGCTAAGTAAAAAAAAAAAAAAAAAATCTATAACATATACAACTGCCAGTTTATCAACCTTTGTCAAGGAAGGCAACATCAGCCTGCTAAGAGATACAAACCCGTGTACTTTAATGGGACACTTTACACCCTTGGTAACCAGCTTCATAGGAGTTGGCAACCAGTACTGTTTGTCTTCATTCAGGATGTACTTTACCTCGCTCAGAAAACAACATCCCATTTAGGCTCAAAGTAATCTCACAATTTCACAGATTTCAAAATGTGTTTGTACATGTGCTTGTGTGTACAAGTATTTCTGTGTGTGTGTGTGTGTGGAGCAAAATTCAATGTACTATACTGTACACAACTCTGACTTTCATACAATAGCGTACATGTCCCCCCGCAGTCAGTACATTATAACATTATTTGAAGTTAAAAAAAAATAAAAATAAAATCGTTAACTACAAGTAATACTGATCTTACACAATGGGCAACTTAAGGCAGTCATTATTATAGAGAAGCCCCCAGAGTGACACTGATAAATTTCTCACCATGACAATGTATTGTAAGTGGAACTGTATATTCTTGATCTGTTTTATAGATGTGATAAAGAAAAAGATTGAAGGAAAATGAGAGGGAGAACTGTTCCTACAATTAAAGTCATAAGTCAATTTATACTTTTGTTCTCTAATATCTTGGGATTCTTGCCAAATTTTAAAGAGGCATCTATTCCTCTGTATATAACATTGACTTTAATGGTGTAAATATTTATTGAATACACACCAGAAAACTGGAATACAATACCTTTATTCTTATCACTTACATGTGTTTTATTCTCTAAATGCTGCTGCATATGTCCTCAAAGTTGGCCTCTGCCAAAGTTGACTACTGTACTAATCTGACGGATAGATGGACACAACATTCGGATTATAAATTTTTTTTAGATGTTTGTTCTTTTTCAAAACATTTGCACTCTGACTCACACATTAATCTTCCACGTTTCAAACCCCATGCTGTACAGTCTTTCTTATACACTATTTCCCCATAATCTACCTTCCTCTTTTCCTTATTTTTATCTGCAAATACACATATTGAAGCACTCCTGCCTCCCCCCCCCCCTTAACATGAAGTATCCCAAAACTGTTTTACTTGGGTGATGGCCAGAGTGAAAGGATAAGTTTAATAGAATATGTCCCAAGTATTGTGGTCAAATTTTCAGTAATATGATGCAGGGAGGAGAAGTAGCCAGTATGACCAAGGTCTATACAGGCATCACTCAAGTCAAAGAATAGAAACAAAAAACACATACTGTACTGTACTGTACACGAGAAATGGACATAATGATTGATGTTGACCCTGTGTGACACTATGCTGTTTGTTTCAAGAAAAATAATTTATGCCAATCTCATGTGTTCACATCAAGTAGCTAACTGTGTATCAATGTACTGATTAGAGTCATGGTATTAAACTGTACAGGATGTAAGAACATTAGTCTGTACTGTCAATGTTCTTTAATAAGTGTATGTATACATGTATTCTTTGTATAGTATATACATATGTATATGTATTGGCATCAGTGTATGTGAATATATATGTATGTATGTATCCATGCACCCCACACACACACACACATATATATATATATATATATATATATATATATATATATATATATATATATATATATATATATATATTATATATATATATATATATATATATATATTTTATGTATATATCAATGAAAACTGGATAAGATATTGAAGAATTTTTTTTGTTCAGACATCTTCAGAGCAACAGATGTCTTGAATATGACTAAAGCAAGGTATTGTTTCCTTTGCTATATATATATATATATATATATATATATATATATATATATATATATATATATATATATATATATATATATATATATATATATATATATATATATATATATATATATATATATATATATATATATATATATATATATATATTCAGAGGGAGTTATTCAATAATGAACAGCAGATATTGCTACTCTAGCCAAGTGAGATTACACTCCATAACTTTCTGCTAATCTACATATATTTTAGTGTTTATACATACTGGTGCAGTTGGCTGAGGTCTGATCCTATGGCCCACGTCTCAATCAGAATCTGACAGGAAGGAAATTCGGCACAATACTGCACCGGTCGTGCAAGAAGAGGGATCATTTCCTACCCAACTGCACCTGTGAGCTGCACCAATGTCAACCAGATACGTAAGAACACTTAAGTCATTTATTACATCATCAGCTAGTTAGCCTGCCATTACTTATTAAAGTCATTTATTTTCTAAACTGATGCACACTCACACAAGAGTTAACAAAACAAAACATTACTATACAGTATCACAAAAAGATAAAATGAATATGACACCAAGTCTCTGAATTAAATTTTACTGTTAAAATAAATACTGTCCTAAACAATTTGTATGTCAGAAAAAAAATCATAGTGATGTACTTGTGCTATAGTAAATAATCATGAATCTGTATTCAGCATCAGATACAATATGTAATTTAACTCGCATATTAATTTAAAATATTTCAATATATAGCACAGATAAGAGTCGAGACAGACATACAGTTTACAATAAGCCGATGACACAAGAAAATAGAAAGAAAGCATTACAGGGATAAAAAGTTATGAAGGCTATCAAAATAACATATAATAAAAGATCATAAAACACATCCCCAGGAACAGATCAATGGACAGAAGCACCCATAACACACACATAATTATAGGCGTTGTTAATCCATTTATTTTCTTCTTCAGAATATGACGGCTCAGACAACTGCACATTGCTGACCTTCAGATATACAATAAATCACAAGACTAGCATTCATATAAAATAGCAACAAACTTGACAGCTGTATGCAGACACCAGTGAGAGTTTTACAGGGTGGAGATACAATAACAAAGCCACGGCTTCATAAATCAATTGGCCACCAACCAAGGCTACAAAAGCACCCACCATAATTTTTTTTAAATTTTACGTTGCCATCTTCGAATAATATCGTACTTTTTTCTGTTTTGATTAGAATTAACACACCAAAGTTGTTCTGCATGCAAAAAGCTACCTATTAAACTAGCTGTTTACAATAATGTACAAAAATTTTCAAAGCTGGATCTTTCTTGTTCCTACTCTTGGTGTAGTTAGGAAACAGAGTTAGAGGCCAGCACCAGTTGGCAACATCACAAGCACTCAACTCTCATTCATATTTTTACATGGAATATAATGGCCTACATACTGGCAAACACAGAACACTTCAGTGGAATAGTTTAAGTTCCTGTAACGTAGTGAGCAGTCGTTATCAAATGATCAAACTTGTCTCAAAATGAATAAATGTCCGAACAGATTATGTCTGTAGTGAAAGATTTAGAATTTATTTTTATTTTTTTCATCAAACATGTACTGTATACAATTTAAATGCACGAGTATTGTCGTATGCACAGAGACTGAGAATCAACGCTAGTAAGTGTGATGCCGAGTGACATGCATGAACATCTATAACATGACACGGTGCATATTTAACCCTGCTCTTTTATTTAATATTGATTCCTTTACTTGAACTAATGAGCAGATATTCCTTTTCAGTTAATGAGAATAACATGAACAATCAATTTCTTTCAAAATTTTGTCATGGTAACACTAGCAATAAATCTCAGCCCATTTCATAATGTACTGTACACAGGTAAGTAAACTAACGTTGTATTGTATTGGTAACATCTCTTATGGTGTTCTATTTCCAAAAAAAGCTTTTCATTGTGTTCAATTGAGCGTCCACCAGCTGAACGTAGCTGCCTTGTCTGTAACTCCAAGCGAGTCAGCAGTTCTCGCATATGGAACCGACTCTGAGGTGGAATGTTATCCATGTAATCCCCACAAGCACGGTGAAACCCTGACTTTTCTGAGCTGCCTGAATACACGCAGCAACAGTAGCAGTGGAGGTCTCAGATCGTAAGTTTGCTACAGAGGCCTCCACGGCATGACCTTGTTCCATCAGACCAGCCTTTTCAGTACTGCTGCTGGAAGATCCACTCACACTGTCACTTGGAATAGTGCCACCAGATGATGTCATACTAGGAGGAGGATTGCTTGATACAGCATGAGGAGTCTCTTTCAACAGCTTGGTATCTCTGTTCTCAGCATCTTTACCATCCTTTTTTACTGAGATAACTGGTACAGAAGGTGGCCTAATTATTGAAGGAGTGGCATATATACCTGCTGGTTTTGGTGGAGGGGGCTTTACTCCTGCAGGAGGTGGAGGCAACTTGAAGCTTTTCACCACTGGTTTAACAGGAACTGAGGGTTTTCCATCAGAGAGTTTAGGCTCTGCTTCATTACCACTGGTAGGAGGCCACATCCTTCGTTCTAGTTGGCAATTTTTCCTTCATCTTCTGGGGTCTTGTTTGGAAGTTGAGTATCAGCGTTTGTGTCCTTCTCACTCTTCGGTAACTTTGGCAATTCTGGCCGCTTATATATACATGGAGCATATTTGGGACTAGTTTGATTAGGATCAGACTTGGCTAGTTTGTCAGAATCCTGCTTCTCCCACAACTTCTTTAAACTACTTATGCTACTTGAGCTAAAACGTTTGGCATCCTCATCTTCACTCACTTTTTGTATCACTCTGAACACTGTCTCGCTTCTCACCTTGTAAACTGTCTCGCTTTTCACTGGAATACTTGTTATACTTTCACTCATTACACTCTTTATTCCAGAGTCACAGCTCTGTTCATTCTTACCACTGTTGTCACTTTTTTTAATAACTTCACTTAACATTTGCACACCATTTTCTTGTTGCTCCCCAGGAGAAATGTCCTCCTCAGGTGTTTTGGCAGCCAACTCATTCTCTTTTGCAACATTTGTCTTTCTAAGCTGAGCTCGAAAATCCATCAAAGTACTGTGAGGATCATTATCAGTATTACAACTATCTTCCACACCTTTCATAGTGTCTGTTTTCCTAAGTTGAGCTTTGAAATTAATTTTCCTTTGTTCTTTTTCAGAATTACTTCTTTCAAATGGACTTTTAACTTTTTTTAAACTTGCTTTGAAACCTATCTGATTACTACTGTCTCTTACATTAGTATTTTCTAATTCAGATTTTACAGAGAGTTCATTATTAGCTGTATTACCATTATCCAAATGAGGACCTTCACCTATTTTATTACCCTTATGGCGTAAACTTTCAAATAACTCTGAGACTAGCTGCACTGCTGGATTCTTCTGACTATCCGGTGAAGTTTCCCCAATTGGAACAGGATCTGGACTTTGCTCTTTCTTATCTTCAACCTCCTTCAACTCAGACACTAACTTAAGTTCAAGGCTCTTTAACTTCATGATTTATCCCTAGTCCTAGTACTACCTTTGGTTCCTCTGATGAGAGCTCCTCTATGCTACCATCACGAGAAGCAAGTGATGCAGCATCGACTGAAGGAGGACTCCCATCAACTGCTGCTGGAGAGGAAGGGGTTTGTCCACCATCTCCAACAGGAGAGGAGGGGGTTTGCAACCCTTCTGTTTCAGCCGATGATGAGCCGGGACTTTTGGCAAGGTAACTAGACTTCACTTTAATCTTTGCACTGCCAATGCCAGGTCGTGGAGAGAGGTTTTCATTGGACTTAAAGCTTTCACAGGAGCCGAGGACTGATCCCTGTGTCTTAAGCTAACTCCAAATCTTGAAGCTGGACTGCCTTCACTTGTATCACCATCAAGACTTGTATCAAGATTTGGCTTAGCTCTAACTGGAGGCTTGTCTGCATCCGTGTCTCGCAGCCTACGACGAGTGATACTTAGAGTCGCTCGTTCTGCTTGAGGAGACTCTGAACCTTCAGCTGCAGTCGGTTGATTATCTTGTGTTGTTTGAGTTGGTAATTTCTGAGGACTAACACTGGAATAATCTGTCTTCCGCCTTGCTCTGGGTGATGGGATAGGCTTTTGGACCAATCGTCGACGAGCCTCAGGTGAAGAAGTTCCCAACCACCGGTCTGACCCGGGCGGAGGTGGAAATTCCATAGTTGCAGACTGAGAGTCTTCCATGAAGTCATCCGGCGGAGGAGGGAGGTCTACTGAGGCGGTGGAAACTCCAAATCAGCCAGACTAGGCTCTTATTACCTTGTCTGACCGAAGAGGCTGAAGCCGAGGACTCAGTCGTGATATTAAGGGCGATTGAGGTGGGAATCCACTCTGTGTCGAGTTACTACGAATCATGGAAGCTGTATTTTTGTCTACTGTCTCTTTGCTTTCCTCCTGATCTCCCTGTTCCTCTTGTTGTCCTTGTTCCTGTTGGTCCTCCTGTTGTTCCGATGACTGAACATGATCATCAGAAGGAGGTACACCTTGAGAGAGACCACTCTGTCGGAGAGATTCGAGGTATGCTCCAATTCTGGCACCCTTTGGCAATGTACCATAGCGGTTAATGGCCCTCTTTACATTATGAACTTCCAATGCAGCAACAGTGAGGTGCCTCCCTCCACCTGTACCACTCTGACTCTCGGCTTTCTCCATTCTTCCACGTCTTAATCTGTCACTGCTAACCTTAGGATCACGTAGTCCAGCTGTAGATTTTTGTCTGAAATAAAAGGTTCTTTTATCACAGTGCCCATGACATGTACAATTAAAGGGAAATATCTTCATTTTATCTATATTTTGTACTTGTATATAGTTTTCTGTATTCAATTTACCAGACTGACATTTGCATAACTATACAAACATCACTTCCTGACTCTCCTCAAAAATATGAAAATGGAAGACCTACATCTGCATCTGAAACATATGTTGAAAATTTTACACTGTAACTTGGCTTTAACAAGAAAGAGTACCTAGTGAAGGACTGATCCTGAAATATAGATATATATTTTTTTAACAAAGACCAAAGCCAATTACTAGGGAACTTACTAAGGGGTCCTTGAGTCCTCAGACAAGGTCACCTACCATAAGCCTGAGCTTATCTATTAATCTAAGAAAAAATATATTGTTAAGCCAGAAATTTACTACCATTACTTGACTGACTTGAAGAATTGTGTGAACCAGGTACAGTGTGTGTGTGTGTGTGTGTGTAACACATAACTGTTTGTTACTTCCAGTGGAAGCCCTGATAAGCTAATTTATTCATTAATCAAAAAATTAGAGGAACACTGATCTTAATTGAACACTAATATATCCTTTGCTGACCTAAAGGACTGAAGGTGTGGAGGATCTGCCCTAAAGGTAGAGTGTGTGGATGTAAGGCCCTGGGTAGCAGGCAGAGACTGAGCACCAGAGTCTTCAGTGTCAGGTGTCCTCTCGGAAGTTCACTCTCACTCTCAGCATCATTGCTGCTTGCTAAGTCAGCCAAGTCCTTCTGGATTCCTGTAAATACCATTAATATCATCTTAAGAGCAGTATTTACCACCAGTATCAGCTAAGCAGCCGTGAAAAAAAAATAATTCCCTCGTATTACCTTTTTACTGCATTATATTAACCTTATCTATGCTTCCTGACACAGATGTATGACTTGTTCAACATGTAGTTCTCTGAAAGATGTTGATGCTTATATAATATTAGTATACATCACTCTATCCTATAATCCTTTAATTTACACCTACAGTACGTGTGCGGTCATAAGATGAAACACAAAAATATGTAAATAATAAGTCTCCTATCCTAGTATCATACTTTAACAATGACTACTATATTATACAGGTTGTACCTCTCTAGTCCGGCAACCTCGGGACCTGACCGGTGCCGGACCATGGATGCGGACCATGGAAATTCACCCTTATCCTGGATAGATAGTGACTTGTGCTTATGCTTGGAAGCACTAGCACCACTTTCTCTGCATCATGGTCTCTTGAAGACATATTGAAGGGTTAAATGTTATAGTAGCTTCTCAAGGAAGTTTTAATTCTTAACGTATTTTATTGGAACACAAAAAATAAATTAAAAAAAATTTGACGGGTTTGAACGGCCTGCCAACGTGCAGACGAGCGTATAATCGTGTAAACAGCGTCATTTCTCTTATGTACAAAAGATTCATTATTGTTTATTACTGAATGTCTTTTTATTGAATTAATGTTTATGTGCAAAATGAGCAATACAATTCATTAATAATCGTGAGAATATTAAAACACACGAGGAAATGACACAGCATTGTTGATTATATGCCAGTGACTGACTGGTTCTACATATAAAACTGAAGAAAATAAGACCTTGGTTGTAGCTGTAAAATTACATAAGAACATAAGAACATAAGGAGTCTGCAATAGGCGGTTGGCCTGTGCATGCAACTCCTGTCGAGAGTTACTACCACTCTCATCATCCATGAATCTATCTAGCCTCCTTGAAAATTTCCAGAGTTCCGACTTACTACAAAGTTGCTAAGCTTGTTCCACTCGTCCACCACCCTATTTGTGAAACAGTTTCTTTCTATCTCCCTCCTAAACCTAAACTTATCCAACTTGAATCCGTTGCTCCAAGTCCTATCCTGCTCGGATATTATAAGAACTTTATCTATATCCCCTTTATTGATTCCTTTCACCCACTTGAATACTTCTATCATATCTCCCCGCACTCTTCGTCTTTCTAAGGAATGCAAGTTAAGTTTCTTTAACCTATCCTGATATGGAAGGTTTCTAAGTCCCGGAATCATTTTTGTCATTCTTCGCTGCACCGACTCTAGTGAATTTATATCCATTCTATAATAGGGGCACAAGAACTGAACCGCATAATCGAGGTGCGGCCTGAAATAGCGACGCAAGATATAGTTGCAATAAGACCTCTGCTCTTATTACTTACTTCCCTGAATATAAACCCAATACTCTCTGTTTGCCTTAGTTCGAACATTAACGCACTGTTTTTCCTAGGCATGGGGTCCGGGCTTACAAGTATCCTAGGTCTCTTTAAAGTCGACTTCTCTAGGTTGATGTTGTTAAGGCTGTATACGTTGACAGTATTTGTTCTACCAATACTAAGTACGTTGCACTTGCTGGTGTTGACTTTCATTTGCCATTTCTCTGACCACTCCTGCAGTTTATTTAAATCCTCCTGTAGTGCATTTGCATCCTGCCCTGAATTAATCTGCCGCCCTATTTTGGTGTCATCCGCAAACTTGCTTATGTCACTGCTGACCCCAGTATCTAGATCGTTTATATAGGTTATGAACAAGAGTGGGCCCAGTACTGACCCTGGGGAACCCTACTGGTTACACAGGCCCCACTCAGATTTAACACCATCTACGCTGACCCTCTGCGTTCTATCGGTGAGCCATGATTTTATCCAATTTAAAACTTTCCCCTCGATACCATGAGCCTTAATTTTTCTCAGAAGCCTCTGATGCGTACTTTCAAATGCTTTGCTAAAGTCTAAGTAAATAACATCGTAATTTTCGTCATTATCTACTACCTCGAAGACTTTCCTAAAAAACGTTAGCAGATTTGTTAGACAAGATTTTCCCTTTGTAAACCCATGTTGAGAGTCGTAGATTAATTTGCTTTTCTCTAGATGCGATCGGATGCTATCTGCTATAATTGATTCAAGAAATTTCCCCACTACTGACGTCAAACTGATCGGCCGGTAATTTGACGCTGATGCTCTGTCTCCCTTTTTGAATATGGGTACTACATTCGCCTGTTTCCACAACTCTGGCACAACTCCAGTGTCTAATGATTTTGTAAATAAGTTTACGAGGGGTCCGCTAATCTGTTCCCTACACTCTTTTAAGACTCGAGGAAAAATTTCATCCGGCCCTGGGGATTTTGTGTTCTTTAGTTTATTTATCTTCTTAAGAACATCCTCTTTTCTGATAGTGATATTCTTTAATTTCTCTTCTTCCTTTCCCTTAAATATCAGTTCCACCTCCGGAATTTCATCGCAATATGGTTGTTTTAAGTAATGATATTTAATATTAATAAATTGAACAATAGAAGTAGCTAACGATAATAGTAAAGAAAAAAGAGAGATCGCGTATGTAAGTGCGCATGCGCACACGTGAAAACATATTGTCAATACTTTACATAAGAATATGAAAGCAACACTTATTTACTGTTCATATATATTTTAATAAATGTTTCTGAATTTGTTTTTATTGAATTAATGTGTGTGTGTGCAAAATTAACAATACAATTTATTATTAATAATACGTCGAATATTAGAGGAGACGAGACGGCTGCCGGCATTGTTTATGTTAAAGCTTACGAAACCAGTGACTGATTGGTTCTACATATAAAACTGAAGAAAATAAGACCCTGATTTTAGCTGTAGTAAAATTAATGTAAAAAAATTAATATGGTTGTTTGAAGTACCTGTAATGTTATTTAATGTTAATAAATGGAACAATATAAGTAGCTAACCATTAATGGTAAAAAAAAGTGAGACTGCGCGTATGTAAGTGCACACATGTGAAAACATATCGTCATTACTCTACATAAGAATATGAAAGCAACACTTATTTACTGCTCATATATATTGAAGGGTTAAATGTTGTACTCTGTATAGACAAGCAGAGAGAGAGAGAGAGAGCAGCCGAACTGCCGGATGTAAACAAACCTTAATTTCCCGCGGCTTTTTTTTTTAAGGGGATTAGCCCACCCGGGCATAGGTCACTGACCCACATTGGGGCCTGAGGGGCAAAAATTTAATACTCCTGTAATAATAATAATAATTCAGATAAGAAAAAAAAAAAAAGCTGCCTATCTACCTGTTGGACAAACTAAAATCGTTCCGGACCACGGGAGTTTCCGGACCACAGAATGCCGGACTAGAGAGGTACAACCTGTACCTACAATACTTTACATCAGGCATGGGCAGCCTTTTCTCAATCATGGGATGCTTTACAATTTAGGTATTTTTCTGTGGGCCAACCCACCAAAATTTATATCCTACCTAACCCAAAAGTCATGTTAATATTGTATTAGCACGGACAGTATAACAGTTTAGTGCTACATCCACCTTACGATATGTTCAGTTTACAATCACAATCTTTTTCTCATTTATGAAGCAAATCCATCAAAATATTTGTTTAAGTATTGCAATATGTTAACGTTTCTTGGCATTTAACAGATGATGAGTGAAGCAGTCTGTAAATAAGTAGATTTTCCCTACAGTTACAGCATTTGTCTTACTTATGAGACTCTCTCAAAGCTGGAAAAAAATCCCTCATCCCCGGAATTTTCCGGGTAACAGAAAAATGTTCTGAGAGGTTCTAGAAATTGCCCATTACATCATCTCTCGAACCTGGAAAAATATCCCTCATCCCTGGAATTTTCCGGGTACCGAAAACATTTTCTCGGAATTTCCAGAAATGCGCCTGATTTTCATCTCTCAAACCCGGAATATGGCTTCCCCATCCCAGGAATTTTCTCGTAATTTTCCGGAAAATGTGCCCCTCAGAAAATCGTTCCTCAAATGCCAAGATTAACACTGACATTAGATTTTTTTTTAAATCTCAGTACTGTATAAGTACTCCCGAGCATGCTGATTCCAAATCTATGGTCCAAGAATCGATTGTGGGGTAATTAGTGGTTGTAATGATGCTTGGACGATTTTAATTACATTATTTCAATACTAATTACAGGCCAACTATGGGTTCCGAGGTGAGATTTAGGTGTTTTAGTGTTATTTTGGAAGTACTTAATTATTTAAACTCTGTGTGACCACTGCCTGTCACCCCACTTGGACTTACCCCACCTTAGCTAATTCCCAAATGACCCACTGCCACATTGCTACCAGCTAATCCATCAAACAGACTGCGCCGAACTTGGTCCGTAAACTTACACAAGTTAAAAAAAATTTATTTTTGACGATATACTGTAGTATACTTATTTCACTGTTACATTTTCATAGTTACTTACTCTTAGGTGATGAAGCGGTAACAAATTGTGTGTGAAGATTATTTTATCAAGACATATTGCTTTAATCTGCATAAACTGGCTGTATCTACCTGAACTGCAGGCCACATTAAATAGAATTTCTCAATCACTCCACGGCCGCACAAACACATGGTCCGAGCCACGGATTACCCATGCCAGCTTTACATATCTTCATCTGGCACTTCAAGCTGGGGTCACTACATGAGTCTCAGATATATATTCACTCTTCTGCCATCACATATAGAAAGCATCCATTGTGTATATCACTCCACTCATTTTCAATCTCCAACCACCCTTACATGATATACTCTCAGACAACAATAACTCGTTCACTATGTCTGTCCATCTTTTAAGCCATTTTCTTTCCCTCTATATAAATTAAGAACAACAAATCCCCATAATGCATCATCCCACAGTGAGCATTATGATTGTATCATGCCTTGTATATGTGACTACCATTCATACTGCAGAGCAAAATTCCTATACAACACAGCCACGTCAGTGAGGCAAACTCACTAGTGACTCGGTGCATCACAGGTAAAGAATATTGTGCCCATCATCTTGGATGCACAAAGAGGCAGAAGCAGTAAGAGTGACCAAGTGACTCTCACTACACTAAGACTCAATACTGTGTTTATACATTCTCCTAAGGGCCCAATGCAGCCTTCTGGTGTTTCTATAACTAGCAAGAAAATAAGAACAATCTTTAAAACTCAAAAATAATGACAGAAATGCAACTGCCTGTCACATACAACAGCTGGCTGCTCTCTCAACCATCACATGCAACCACCATTATCTCCAAAGTACAGTTCAGTATTTATAAGCTTAACTTATTTGTTTCTCTTATTTCTACATTGTAAACTATCTATCATCAATGGTAACACATAAGTTACCATAAATTAAAAATTTTCACCTATGAGTGCCAGGATTTGAACCCGGACCACCAAGGTTGGCAGTCAGGCTGCCTGACTGTCAACAATTTTTTTTTTTTAACTTGAAAATAAATTTAAACTCTGTGATGCAGTGAGATATCTTATCCACTGACCACTGTATCATATTAACACCATGACTGACTATGGTGCACTATCAGAAAACCACATAATTTTAATTCATAAAAATCTACAGCATGCAGCACATGCACTTGAGGGCTATAGTTAAAACTGTACAAAGAATGTGCAAGAATCCTGGCATTTCTTGCAGCACTATCCAAGTTTTTTTCTATGTATTAAACACCAAAAATAACTAACATATATTCCCAATACAAGCCAATCATACTACAGATCACCCAGCTGGGTGGGCTCACTTTGCTTGCCATGTTCCCTCACCTTGGCCCCCCCCCCTTTGATATTCCTGGATCTGCCCCTGATATACAAGGACATGAGTTCTATTTACCTTACCACTCTTCAACAAGAAATTTATACCGTGCTCTTTATAACATTTCATTTTTAACATTTGCCTACAGTATAGTACTGTATACTGTACTGTACTGTATACTTTATCAAATGAATTAACATTTCTATCATACTTGGTAAATATAAGCGAATCATCCACAAACACCATCTTTCAAAATTTACTTTCAATATCCTCATGATTTTGTCTTGCCTCTCTCTCGGTCATCCTTCAGGCAAAAATTCAGTCAATTAAATCATGCTATAAATACTGTGTCTAACTAACTAACTAATGAATATTTATTAGTAAAAATAAAGAATGTCAAACCATTCAATGGGCTGATTAATGCAGTAAAAAATCAAATAATACAAATATTTTACATGAAACTATACAAGCCAGTAATACTGCATAAAGCATTCTACTGTACTATCAAAATGTTAATCAGCAAACAATGTATAACAGACTATAACTTGTTTCTCATCCAAGATGATACAATTACAATTACACAGAAAAGATAAAGAAATAATCACATGCATATACATTATAGCAACTCCCTAAATTCCCAACTTGAGGAGCTGGGCTTAATCCCACACTTGAGCAAAAGTTTACAGGGTATATTACCACTCATAAAACTAAGTGAGATGGTTACTGTACTGTCTAGGCCCCATGTAAATTATTACCGTACAGTATATCAATTTACACAATGCAAAGTAGCATAATAAAATTTTATCTCAGTTCAAAAAGTTAACATTGACATAATCTCATTCACTTCTATATAATGCTTCTTAATGTGGCTGGAGTCAAGAGCAACACAGACTCTTCTTCATTCAATGTCAGTCATTCAATATTTACTGACTTTAAAATGGAATCTTGCACTAACTCAAAGTTCAAAACAAGGGCAGTATTTTGTTGTGACTGAATAACTAAACTGAAAATTCATGACCAACAAAAAGGTGACCAACATCATCATCATCAGACCAAGAGCTCACAAGTATAAAATAAAGACAGATAATGAGGCAATAAATGACCTTAAACTCCTCAGTCACATACTGTACAATTGTGAATAAATCAAATTAAAGGTTCCCAGATATATATATACAGTACAGTACTGTATATAGTTTCTACATTAAAAACTGTAACTCATCAATATAACCAAATTTTGTGGCTTCTTTCTCTTTTATATAATTAAAAATATTTGAGTTAGGTTTCAGGAAAGAGCACCATAAGTGTGGTTAGGATTAATGAGGTAGAGTATATACCTGTGCACAACAAACTCAGGTAGGGAATAGTGAGAAAGGAAGCAGAGAGCAGGAGGCCACAAACTAACACCAGAAGCTCAAGGAACTTGCCTGTTTTGTTAGGAAGTGTTTAGTAGTAGTGATGGATAAAAATTATAACAGGTCATTGACTGTAATAGATTTATCAAGTGGTAATACGATAAAATCAAGTGGTAGTACGGAATGTTTCATCTTGCCAGCGTGGCTAATGATGGTCAATATCTCAGGTTTCTCTTTTATTTTTACTGATAAATGATTTACATACACAGTTCAACCCCACTGAATTCATATTAACCTATCATGTACTATATATACAGTACAATATTTGTTGAAAAGGTTATGCACTGTACAGCCTTGCTGATATACCATACTAATCCTGTGCAAAACAATTTTCTTTAATAAGAATTTCATCATAACTCATAACAGTGACCTTGGTCATAACCATTCAGTACTGTAAACATGAAGCCTATCTTAACTCTATCACAATAAACCAATACTCTAATTGTTTACAATTTCTAAAATCTGCAACTAGATCATTCAAGGCAAACATTTTCTAAAACCTTCCACTTCAGGCAAGTTTGAGTTGGCAGAAACAAAGCATAAAGGCAGAGAAGAGACAGGGACGAAAGACGTGGTACCTTCAAAGATTTTGTCTATACCATTGAATTCATTGAGCTCATCTCCAGCCATTCCAGCAGGGAGGTCTTGGTCCGTACAGGTGCTGTCTCGGAACGAACTGTAGAAAGAAAAAACGATGTAAAATTTTCTATACCATATTTTTATGACAGGAACCATACACTTACTCAGCAACAACACTAAATAGACTGGCATCATTTTCAGATTCTAAATATTCAAACCAAGACCATCAAGCTGTTAATCATTCACAAAGTCTCTTCCATAATGAGACTTAGTTCACAAGTTAATAAGTGACTTCCGAAACATATTTACATAAGTAATGTATGTGTTATGGACCTGCAGCAGTAAAGGATCATTCTTTAAAGTCCTGTAAATTTAATTCCTATTATTTCACCTTGTTCTCTTGGGAGGTGCTGGTGCCTGTTTGCCCTTCTTGTTGGTAGTGCGTCTCAGCTGAACCACCGTGGACCGAGAAGAGAGAATACCCTGGCCTGTCCGGACGTCTCTTGGTAGGTTAGGGCTGCTGCCTTCGTCCATTATGTTATGCTTGTTCTTGTTGCTTCTCCTTAAAACAACAAGTTATTGTTAAACTTGTCGAAATTATAAAGATATCACAAAATGTATAATTTCTGATGCTTCAAATGATCTTGACATTAAGTTACCAAACATCAGAGACTTTCTGAACTATGTAAAGATTTTTAAAGGCGAATAATAAAAGATAGGAGTAATATACGATTTTCCATTATGAATTACCAACCTGTAATTACAAGGGGGAGGAGGGAAGGGAGGTTGTATGTGGGACAACTTACTGCCTGGCAGAGGATGTTCGAGGGCTTGTGGGGAGCTGCTCTTCATTCCACTGCTGGTGTGTGCTAGAGGATGACCCTCTCACCTTTCTTCCTCCTCCAGCTGCTAACTGTTGTTCCACTTCTATAAACATTAATTTACAATTTAATCTCAGAAAGAAATTAAATGAAGAACCAAAACAGACTCTCCCTTCCGTCACCTGTTAATCTCTCATTCTCACTGCTATAATATGACTCTTCTCTTCCACATCAAGGCTTTACTTAGCATATGTCTTTGATATCTTAAAGTTAGCATTCAATTTAAACACAGTAAATCCTTGTTATTCGCGGGTTTACCATTCACGGTAAGCAGATGGTGGCTAGCTCATGAGCCTCTGTGGGAGCACTGCGGATCATCCCCACATGCCCAGACCGTCTCCTCTCCCTTGTTTGTGCTTAATCATTGTCTGCACTACAGCATCTTTTGTGTTGTTCTCAAAAGTTCAGTGTTTTTTGTGTGAAATGGCTGGTGTATATTGGAAAAAGATGCCTGGTAGAACCTACTTTAACAAGCAGGGGAGGCAGGCCCCAGGGCTGAAGTCAGCCAAAGACAGAATGACACTCATCTTTTGTGGCAATGATGTTGGACACATGATCAAGCCTGGCTTACTCTACCACTCAGCAAACCCTAGGGCTTTAAAAGGAAAAAACAAGACCCTTTGGCCTGTTTTTTGGCAGTTTGATAAAAAGACATGGGTAACTGTGCAAGCATTCCTGGATTGGTTCCATAGATACCTCATCCCAAAAATGGAAAAGTATTTTGCTTCCCAGATGATGGAATTCAAGGTGCGATTAATCATAGACAATGCACCACGCCACCCAGAATGTTTGCAGTTTACCCATCCAAGTGTAGAGTTGGTGTTCCTACCCCCTAACACTACTGCTCTTATTCAGCCTCTTGATCAGGGTGTACTACACACCTTCAAGGCGTATTACTCCAGCCACTCTTTTGGTTGTATCCACAGTGCCATAGACACCGACCCTGACCTTGATGTTCGCAAGTGTTGCAAGAAGTACAGCATTGCAGACTGCATCACCAATCATTGGACGAGATAAATTCAGACTGTGAATGCATGTTGCCAAACCCTGTGGCCTGAGTGTATTAAGAACTTCCAAGAATTCCAGTCCATAGAACCATAGAAAAGGATGTGAATGACATTGCAAGTGCTGTCCATCAATTGGGTGGTGAAGGGTTCGTGGAAATGGTCAGAGAAGATGTGGAAGAGCTGATTGATGGGTAGGGAGAGGAACTGACAGAACATGACTTGGAAGAGATGGGAAAAAGTGTCAAGGAAAATGAAGAGGGAGAAATTTTAGAATTTAACAATTTTGACATGTGAAGGTGGTAATTGATTTCATTGTTGACCACAACCCTTCCATAAAAATGTTTAGAGAACTCAAAGCCAAGAAGAAACAACTGCCAATCATGATGTTTCTCAAGAAAAGCAAGCCACTTGCCCAGCTGATTCATCTCTCTCACCTCCTTGGTCAGCCACTGCTGCTGCACCACCTGCCTCTCCACCAACCACCACTGCATCACTTTCTTCCAACATTGATCCTGATGATCTCCCTTTAATTCAGTAACCAGACTTCAACCTGCTGTACAGTACAGGTACATTTCATTAAGTTCCAAATGTCTACATACAAATGTAAGCAGTATGGGTAACTTAAGTTTCTCACACACAGTACAGGTATACAGTACTATAGTGCACTATGATAGTATAAGTTGATATTCGCAGTTTTGCTTATTCACACCATTTCCTGGAACCTAAACTCCACTAATAATAAGGACTTACTGTACTGTAAGATATATCACATGTGGACTAGTTTTACATACCCTCAGTAATGGATGTCTCTTGGAACATTGTCTCTAATGCATGGTGGATGTGGGAGAACGTTGGACGATCAGCTGGGTTCCACAGCCAACACTGTTTCATAAGTTCATACACACGTACCGGGCAGCCTTGAGGACAGTCCATCCTAAAAATAATAAAATAATCATATTTACAAAAATTCAAAAACTGTATCAATGCAGAATATTTCTATCATCTTCACAGCATAGAAAGTGGCTTCAATAGCCCTTGAGAGGACAACTGATCTCCTTTTTAAACTTGCTTAAATTCTTTATATAACTCCCATGTGTTTTACCATCTACTGCTAATGTATTAAGTACAAATCCTTCAACTGGTAACCTAGAACTCCTCAATCTCAAATCCTTGGAGAAAGTCAATGTGCATAATGGTAGGATATCACGATGAAAGTAAAAACTGATGTAAAATCTATGAAGTGCATCAAACAGTTTAGGGATACTGTTTATTTCTCTGTCATGTAAAATTTGGTAGTACAATACATGGCATTCTGATGGTGAGAACTTTTGCAGGTTAACAGTGGTGAACAATCATTCATCGAACAGTATTTAGTAGGTTATGGAATGTTGTACCAAAAGGTGGAAGAATATTCTAATGCCTTGACAACCATCATGTAATAAATATTAAAATATCATTTAGGGTAAATAACATTGATTATGTGTTAAAGGAATATCCTTCTTCCTTAGGCTTTAGTAAACCCCTTTATAATATTTATACAGTCAACCCTCGCTTTACGCGGTCCCACATTCCGCGTTTCCACGTTTACGCGGTACCCTGCCGAAACCGGAATGCTCACATTCCGCGGTGCGTGTACCCCTTTACGTGGAGAGCGGCTGGCGAGCTGCGCCATTTTTGGATCCAAACCTCCCGCCATCCGCAATGTTGTGTAAGCGGTGCGAGCAGGGTGCGCACAAGGTCGCCCAGTCATCAAAACATTACCGAGTTCTTCACCCGCCACCCACCACAGGCGGCCCAAGTCAGTGATAGTGATAATTATAGTGAGGATATGGACTTATATAGACTTTGAGGGGTTTGACAAAGAGGCCCTGCAAGCCTCTGTGGTGGATAGTGATACAATTGATACAGGTGAGGGCCAATAATCTGCCCTCTGCCTCGGAACCAACCCCCCATCCCCGTGTGCCCAGCCATCTTTTCTCCTAATGTAAGTGTTAAAAAACCTAATATTATTGATATTTCTCTTAATTATTAATTGTGTGTGCATACCATCATAAAATTAAGAAGTTATTTTTACTACAACATAGTTGTGTGTCGTCAAAAAGTGGAGTTTGGGGGGTCGGCCCGGTCTCTATTTCAATTAATCCCATATGTTATGTTGTTCACTGTACGCGTTTCTCACTTTCCACGGTATCCTGTGGGTTGAATTAACCGCGTAAAGTGAGGGTTCACTGTACTGTATATACTTGTCACACTTGCCAGATGCTTCTGGTGTCATTGTACAGGGGTACCTAGTGACAGCACTAGGATCCCGCTTCCTCTATCAAGGAATAAACAATTGAAATTGAAATTGAAATTGAATATCATTTATAATTTTTTAATATCTATTTATCATAGAAACTACAGCCAACTGAATAGTAATAAAAAAAGTTATGAGAATTACTGTAATTCCAGGCTTAATAATAACTGCACATGAACTTTGATGTTACAGTAGCACCTTACTGTACTGTGCTATGACACAGATGCCATGTTCCATCAGCGTACGAGATAGCATATGTACAGTACTGGATGAAAGAACAATCAGTTCTCTGCATCCCAAAGAAATAAATTACAGGCTGTATGAATATTGCCTCAAGAATAAGGAGACCAGATTTCCTGGAGCTAAATGTAGGAAATCTCATGAATAATAAAGTACAGTACAGCAACATACTGCACTGTATGCTTCATACTGTAGAGTATACAGTATATCAACATACTACAGTATTCATACTTGTCAGTAAAATAGACTAATACATTATCAGAGTACTGTACTGTACAGTAATAGTTACCTGTAACCAGACTCCAACAAATGGTAGACGTTGGTGAGGTCCACCCCTGGGTATGGAGATACTCCATAGGTTGCAAACTCCCACAGCAGGATGCCAAAAGCCCATACATCAGACTGAAAATTTAAAATACTGTTATGAAAAACAGCTCATAGAGTTTATAGTTCCAGACAATGTCCAAGTTGTTCACAGGAACCAAACTAGATAAGATTCTGCCCTGTAAAGGAAGTTCAGGGTAAAAACAACTTTCATAAAAACTGAGGATTCAATCAAATTAATGTCCACATCAAAGGAAGAAGGAAAAGTCCTGTACACTATACTGGACATAAATATATCATTACATACCAATTCTTAAGAAATGAAACAAATAAAAAAAAATTCAGATAAATACCGTACTTGAATCTACTTTTTCAACATTAAATATTGAATGAAATCATGCCTTTGTGGAGAATTTATTATATGCAAGGCCCTCTGGTGCTGTCCACTTGATAGGAAACTTGGCTCCAGCATGGGCAGTGTAGGTGTCGTCCCTCATGAGTCGCGCCAACCCAAAGTCTGCTACTTTTACTAAGTGGTTCTCACCAACTAAACAATTTCTAGCTGCCAGGTCTCTGTAGAAACCAAAGTCAAATTAATAAATACTTTATTTACACAGAGAAATGCAAAACATCTTAATATGGTTAAACACAATTAAGAAATTTAATGAAAATAAGGAAATGTATTCAATCAATCAGAGCACCTGTACTGTCCTCATATCTGAAGGTTGGTGACCACAGTCCTCCACTCTAAATGTTCTTGGGCTGAATTTACCAATCTTCTAAGTATTTTTATCTCTCTGGAGACTCATTTTTACTTTCATTCATCCATTCCAGTTTCTGCCTTTCATTGGCCTTCCTACCCTCAACTTGCCCATTAACATTTGTTAATATCTTGTCATCCATAATTATATGACCAAAAGTTATCAATTTTTTTTTTTTTTTGTACATTCCAAGTCATTCTCTTGAAGATTTTGCTAATCTTAGGTACTTCTTCATTTCATTTCCTGTCAGTGTGGCTCACTCTTAGCATTTGCCTCTAGCTCCCTCACCCACCACCTCTCTCACACACACAAGAACCAACCATTACCTGTGTATAAAGTTTCGCTCCTCCAGATACTCCATAGCTGCAGCAACTTGAGTGGCCATGTAGAGAAGAACTACTTCATTAACTTCATCATGGCTACACACACGTAGGTAGTCAAGGAGGTTTCCACGAGTCATGAATTCTGTCACTATATAAAAGGGAGGTTCCCTTGTGCATACACCCAACAGCTGCACCAAGTTAGGATGCTTCATGGCCTTCATGATACCTGCTTCTTCCAAGAAATCTTTCAGAGCCATGGTGTCCTCCTGCAATTATGAAAATTATTAACAAATATTACATTTATGTCCTTAATATATCCTAAAAGCTAAAATTGCATTATTTATTTCAATATCATGCTTTATGTAACGTCACTAAATTCATAAACAGAGATCAGGAAAACAAACTCAATAATGGTGTACTCAAATTTTCAGAAGCTATTATGTAAAGTCACCCACGAAAGTCCTGTTGCCTCTATTCCTGAACCACGAACCCTGAAATTCAGACTCGTGAACCCGAAGCAGTAGACATTGATCCATTATTGTGTCCATAAATGCTTCGGATTCACGAGTCTGAATTTCAGGGTTTGTGATTCAGGAGTAGAGGCGACAGCACTTTTGTGGGTGACTGTACATCACTTGGTAATGTACTGCAACACATCCAGAATAAAAACTCAATACAAAAAGTGCACTGTATAGGATTCACCAGGAAGCACTTCAAATACTGAGACGTAGTAACACTTCTACATACCTTGAGAGTCTTGACGGCAACACAGATGTTATATCTTTTCCAGACTGCTTCGTACACATCCCCATACTGCCCGCCACCCAGCTTGTGCTTCATTGCTATGTCTGTTCTCTCAATTTCCCATTCATCTGGCTCTACAAAGTGAAATATAATCACATAAGCATTAAAACCTTCATGAACATAGTACAGTAAACAAAAGGAAAGAGGAAACAAACCATCCCTGCATTTTTCAATCAACATTACATACTAACACAGTATCCTTCTAAAAATGCCTTGAGACCTTACTAAATCGTAATTTCTGAATAACTAAGCAATTAATTTAAAGAATTTGTGAAACAAATAGAAAGGAGCAGCTCATTAAGTGCATAAAAGAACCCCCTCCCTCCCCCACCCTACCAACACTAAGAAGATCCTGGTAAAAGCTCCCAAGGAAATTATCATAAAAATATAAAACGTTCTTGCCACATGATCTTAAAATGTATCTTGCACTCAATTCTTGCGATATTTTCAAAATGGCAAGATCATCAACATCTAATACCGCACATGTACTGTTATATCTTGAGACTCTTTATCACACTTTATGTTACAATCATAAAGTTAGGAGAAAAAAATCTTAGTATTACATACATAAGATACATGCAGTATAGATGAACAACTAAATGGATCCCCAAAAATCCTAATGATGGTAATAAACACTAACTTAGGGACATCTCAGATTGGTTATTCTAAATACTGAAAGATTTGGTGAACTGCTTTCTGATGCATCTATTAAACAGGTCAAGTGTAGATGTAAAGGTCCTTAATAAAGAGTGGGAGTTATTTTAACTAACAAAAACTATCAATTCAGTCTTAACTAAAGCTGACACATGATTACAGTACAACAATCAAGAAGAATCATCAGCAATGCTTTATGCTGCACAATAAACATTCTTCACTGCTGTTTGCAAAGTTTTATATCCAGTACTGTACAGTGTTGATCTTTTAACTACTTGTGGAAGGGATCTCATCTGTGCTGAATAAAGTATTAAAAGTGACGTACCCACAGTGAAGGGGTTAATGGAAAGGAAAAAAATAAAATAAAGATTCTGCTTCCCACAACAGAAGTCACAGAATTAACATGATCATATACAGTACCTGGTGTGAGTCCAAACACGGTCGGTTTATTTCTTTTAGGAGCTGGGTAAAGCAACTGAGTGATGAGCCCATCGGCATGCTGGGAGTGATGGTGTACTAATTCTGCTAAAGTGTTGAACCGGAACTCTGATGACACATACAGCTGTACAGGAAGAAAGTTAACATAAGGATTGAAACCCAAATACCATACTGACAATGACTAAAATTTTGTGGATGAATTTATTGATCTCTGTCGCTTATAAAATACATATTGTATACTGTACAGTACAGCACAGCCCTGTACTGTATTTTCACTTAAATATGACTCTGGGGCAGCAATAATGGTACCACTACACATTTAGGTGTCCTTGTAAAACATAAATTGTACCTATTGTCAGTATAGTCTGCATTTACGCGGATTTTGTTTACACGTTTGGTCATTTACGCGGTGCCTTGCCAGAATGTAAATGCTTTAATTACGAGGTAAATTTGGTCATTTACGCGGGAAGCGGCGCGGGCAGGGTGCACACAAAGTCGCCCAATCATCAAAACATTACCGAGTTCTTCACCCGTCACCCACCACAGCCAGCCCAAGTCAGTGATAGTGATAGTGAGGATATGAACTTTGAGGGGTTTGACAAAGAGGCCCTGCAAGCCTCTGTGGTGGATAGTGATACAATTGATACAAGTGATACAGGTGAGGGCCAATAATCTGCCCTCTGCCTTGGAACCAACCCCCCATCCCCTTGTGCCCAGCCATCTTTTCTACTAACGTAAGTGTTAAAAAACCTAATATTATTGATATTTCTCTTAAATATTAATTGTGTGTGCATACCATCATAAAATTAAGATGTTATTTTTACTACAACGTACGTATTGTGTCGGAAAAAGTGGAGTTTGGGAGTTGGCCCAGTCTCTATTTCAATTAATCCCATATGTTCTGTTATTTCATTTACGCGTTTCTCGATTTACGCGGACCTCCACGGGTTCAATTGACCGCGCAAAGGCAGACTACAAGTATACTGTATTTTACACGAATAGCGCTTGATCCAGTAAATCTATGTTGAATTTTGAAATCTCTTTGCCAAAGCCTGAATTTATAGTAAACTACTGTACACTACAGTAATTCCATACAACTGGGCTTTAACATTACAGGTAGTATTAAAAATACAGTACTGTACCTGTAAAAACAAAACTTAACCTGAGGAAAACAAAATGTCAAATAATGAATTGTTTATAAACTGTTTACCTTAGAATTCTCATCCTCGTTGATTCTGTAGTGATAGACACGGCCGTTATATCTGAGAGAGATGGATCTCTGTCCGGGGGAACTCTCAGACTCCCGCACGAGAAAGGAACCGTTGATACCCGAGGACAGGAGATACTCGGCAGTATTTCTGGATATGGGACCATGGTACCAGGAATGTTTCTCCAGCGAGTTGACAGGAGTGATATAGTTGGACGGGACCCAGCCTACTTCCCCTGATCCAGCGTGGGCTTCACACCACTCCCCAGACTTGTTGTAGCTCAGGACGCGAACCTGTTCACCTGCAACAAACACTACACATAAGTTTCTGAAGATAACAAACCTAAGCAGTGTACTGTACAATACTGTAGTACAGGAATCTATCATTATTTTTCACCTCCCACTCCACTGTGTAATAGATTAAAGGTACAGAAACATCAGAGAAAGGGGTTATAACAGAGAATAATGCTATTTGCTATTTAAGTAAAAACAATTCAGTCATTTCTTGAAATGATTGATTACACGGTTTGACTGAAATATATACAGTACAGCATATGCTGTACCTACACTTATAGCTCAAAAAAAAAAAAAAATTGAGAGAGAGAGAGAGAGAGAGAGAGAGAGAGAGAGAGAGAGAGAGAGAGAGAGAGAGAGAGAGAGAGAGAGAGAGAGAGAGAGAGAGAGAGAGAGAGAGAGAGAGAGAGAGAGAGAGAGAGAGAGAGAGAGAGAGAGAGAGAGAGAGAGAGAGAGAGAGAGAGAGAGAGAGAGAGAGAGAGAGAGAGAGAGAGAGAGAGAGAGAGAGAGAGAGAGAGAGAGAGAGAGAGAGAGAGAGAGAGAGAGAGAGAGAGAGAGAGAGAGAGAGAGAGAGAGAGAGAGAGAGAGAGAGAGAGAGAGAGAGAGAGAGAGAGAGAGAGAGAGAGAGAGAGAGAGAGAGAGAGAGAGAGAGAGAGAGAGAGAGAGAGAGAGAGAGAGAGAGAGAGAGAGAGAGAGAGAGAGAGAGAGAGAGAGAGAGAGAGAGAGAGAGAGAGAGAGAGAGAGAGAGAGAGAGAGAGAGAGAGAGAGAGAGAGAGAGAGAGAGAGAGAGAGAGAGAGAGAGAGAGAGAGAGAGAGAGAGAGAGAGAGAGAGAGAGAGAGAGAGAGAGAGAGAGAGAGAGAGAGAGAGAGAGAGAGAGAGAGAGAGAGAGAGAGAGAGAGAGAGAGAGAAGAGAGAGAGAGAGAGAGAGAGAGAGAGAGAGAGAGAGAGAGAGAGAGAGAGAGAGAGAAAGAGAGAGAGAGAGAGAGAGAGAGATCAGTCATAATATATGAATCATAATTGTATCATCCTTGGGGGGCAAGAGGCTGACTGACTGGTCCATTCCTGCCAGCATCCTTACAGGTTTTTCTTCTTTAAACCAAAATTTTAAATATAACAGAAATTATAAACACAGAGGAGTTATCAAACCTTACACTTACTTTTTACTATTCAAAAAAATGTCTGGGTACAATACTGCATTAAATAAAAAGTATTGGAATTTTCTGATGAAAAGAGGGGTCCAAACCACCCCAGGACCCGCCCTTGTTATTACCTCTCCTACACACACATACACCTCCATGAATAGAATTAACACGTGTGAACTGGGAGGTCGATATGTCTACTGTCTGTCTGTCTGTCTGTCAGGCTCGTACATGTAGCAGGAAGGGTTTTGTTTGTATTGGACTTGTCATTGTGTGGGGGATATTCTGCAGATGTTGAACCTCGTAGTTGTGGGACTTATAAATGCATGAAGAGGCTTAGTACATGTTGGACTTGCTAGACTGCACAGGAGACTCGACAAGAGATTGGACTTGTTCCCACTTACTTGAGACTTATAAAAATTGTGATCTACAGACAATGGACCTCTTTACTATGGTAGGAGGAAAGGAGAGGACGGGGTACGGTACTGGACTTTTGGGCTGTAGGGGGGGGGGGTCTCGTTACTGAACATCTAGGCAATTACGGAAAGTCCAAAATATGGTCCTGACCGAATATCATAGAAAACGAGAAATTAAATTGACTTAACGGTGTGTGTGTGTGTGTGTGTGTGTGTGTGTGTGTGTGTGTGTGTGTGTTTTGACCTCCTGTGCTGTATTGAAGACCGGTTATGGGGCTACTTCTGGACTCAACCGAAGTGCATTACTGAGGATTTTTCTCTGTATTTCTGTGTTAAGGTAGAAGTCTTACATGATGCTTGGAAATATTTATCTTATGGAGTCTTAACTGTTATTAGACTTCATCGAGCTAAAACAGGTAAGTGTGGGAGTAGATACATGACAATCACACACACTCGACCTACGGGCCACCACACACAACACAACACACTCCCAGGGTAAGAGTGTCCTCAGTCCCCGTAAACTTTGTGTCGCCAGTGTGTTGACATTTCTCAGCTGGTTCCTGGACATGCCTCTCCTCCCACCCCACCCCACCCCACATCACCTCGTCCAGTCCTGCCCCACCCCACCCGACCTCGTCCAGCCCTGCCCCGCCCCACCCCACCTGACCTCGTCCAGCCCTGCCCCTGCCCCACCCCACCTGACCTGTCCAGCCCTGCCCCACCCCACCCGACCTCCTGTCCAGCCCTGCCCCGCCCCACCCCACCTGACCTGTACAGCCTCCCTGCCCCACCCCCACCCCAGCCCTGCCCCACCCGACCTCGTCCAGCCCCTGCCCCGCCCCACCCCACCCGACCTCGTCCAGCCCTGCAGACCACAGCTCTGCCCCTGCCCCACCACACAGTTACTTCATGGAGACAAACCTGCTATTTGACTTACTTGACTCATGATGTATATTTACTGTGTGTGTGTGTGTGTGAATCTACACCCTCAGGTAACCTATAATGTCAGTCTCTTAGTACATACAGACGACATCTTAAATCTGCGGTGGTTCTTCTGTGTACTTTAATGAGGAGGGGAAGAGGGAGAAGGAAGGGGAAGAGGGGGGAGGGTGGGGAAGAGGGGGTTAATAAAATCTAGACATTCTGGCAACTTATCATATATTTTCCTTGTACAGGTTGTAATTTTTTTCAGCATCACACACACACACGGCTCACCTGATGAACCTTCAACCTAGTTTATTTTACCTACTCATTCTAACCTAACCTAACCTCACCCCACAAAAAACGGTTAGAGTAGTTAATCTTTAGGTGAAATAAGCTGGGGTGGAGATTCTTCAGGTGATCCATGTAATTTAGTCAAGAATTTTGCTGCTAATAACACTCGACATTTGGACACGTGTGGCGGAGACCTTGTTGAAGCTCCACAATGTAATGTCGGAGGTGAGGCGAGGCGACTTACCCAACACGTTGCTCTCATTGGTGCTGAGCTGAGGCTGAACATTCTACCTGCGCACTACTCTTTCTTCCTATAATACCGTAATTAGTGCCCTCACCTGATACAAGTATGCTGATTTAACGTCAGAGAGATGTTGATGGTTGAGACGAGACCCTGCCTTGAGGTGTAGACAGGTGAAAACACAACAAGTGCACACAAGACAGAGGTGAACTTTAGGAGAGTGGCTAGCGGCAGCGGCGGTGTGTGTTACTAATCAAACACACCAGCACAAAAATACCGCTGGCGAGAAACAGCTTCAAGGCGTCCGTGTGTGTGTGTGTGTGTGTGTGTGTGTGTGTGTGTGTGTGTGTGTGCCTCAACCTTGAGTAAACGAACTTCAACCTTCACATTTACACGCGCCTCCTCGTCTCTCACCTACATAAAGCCAGACCTGAGCTGTGTATTATCCGGGAGAAAGAAAATACCTCACTATCTTGCAGGCAGTTCTAAGAAGAGCCTCAGAATAGGTGAAAGACCATGTCAACAAGACTCGGGAAGGGGGGGGGGGGTCTCAATGTACAGGGGCGCCGAGCACGAGCCCAGATATGCTAAATCAACCCCTCGCGCCCACCCAAGCAAGGGCCATTTAACTAAATCCCAAAGGGGTAATTACGGGGAATTTATGGGTGATGAGAAACCGGAGCGCGGCGTTAACCATCGTCTACACAGCCTCCGGGTATGTACAACACACACCCTCAATTCACGATTACATTTAACCCTGCATTCAACTTACCGATGGGACGACGGGGCGTTGGCACCCTCATGGCGGTGAGCAGCTGTGTGTGAGATCTCCTCCCTCACACTCACCCAACACACCTCCCTTCATGTGTCGCCCCAGCCCTCGTCTTGTTAAGTGTTGATATACTACAGTGTCGGGGGAGGTCCGGTGGGTTACTGTGACGTCCGCCGCTGACTCACCACCATAGGCAGGAAGTGAGAGGAGAGGGCACCACCATAATCTCCTACACAGGGTAACCCACACTGCCGCCTTCCTGGCTTCTCACTCAAAGAAACACCGGAGTCAAGGGTTACTGCGACTGTAGGATGTATCACGGCTGTACAGGACTCCAGTGTCACGGATCACCAACACGGTAAGAGTCACGGATCACCAACACGAGCCACGGATCATTAGGATTAAATGTGTCAAGGATGTAGAGAGAGTACTGGGGTGTCACACATCACCAAGCCTACTGTACAGCTCTCACGGGATCACCAAGACAAACAAGCAGACTGGTCCACCACTAGACACCATCACCACGCTACAAGGTTCAACACAAACGGACAAAAACAATCACTCGGGCGTTTCTCAGTGCACCACACTCACACTATCCGGCGACATGGGATAGGGTGAGGTGGGCGAGTTCATACAGGCGGTGACCACTGTACACTGAGGGAGGGGGAACTCAGGGCCACATGGCGGGTACACCAGCTCTACTCTCCACCACCACACAATTGTCAGCAAATTTCCTTCACCAACACCTGTCACTAGTACCACACCACTAAGTACACTACAAAAAATATGAAACGAATCCTTCCATGATTTTGTTCTTCAATACCACATTGAAGAGTCACTTTGAACACACAACTGCCTTCTGTACAAATTAATCACGACAAGTTAATATTTTCTCACTAGTTGTGGTGTACGTGAGAGTTGAGACCGGGTGTGGCACAGGGTGAGGGTGGGTCAGGTCCGGAGAACGTGGCGCCGGCGGTGGCAGTGGTAGCGACAGTAGGAGCAGAACCTGTGTGAGTGTGTGTGTGGTGCACTACTCCCGGGAGTCAGGGTTGAGGCAGCCTCCCGACGTCGCTCCTCAGTGTTAGTGGTGCTGCTGGCCCGCCGCCACGCCCATCACCCCGCCCACACACACACACCCACATGAAAGTTTGTGTTTCCCCATACTTCTCTACATTACGCCCCCCCCCACACACACACGTGACAGTCCAACTCTCCCACAACTGTCTTCCCTAAACAACGTCCACCAACACACACATGTGAAAGCTTACCTGCCGTCCTTACACACACACACACGTGAAAGCTTACCTTTCCCACACCTGCCGTCTCTAAATCACGTCAACTGTTTCTCTGTATACAGCTCGGTCTTCCACTATGACTCCACCAAGTTTGACACTAATGCCACCATACCCTCTCCACCACTCCCAACACCACCACACCCTCTCCACCACTCCCAACACCACCACACCCTCTCCACCACTCCCAACACCACCACACCCTCTCCACCACTCCCAACACCACCACACCCTCTCCACCACTCCCAACACCACCACACCCTCTCCACCACTCCCAACACCACCACACCACCACTCCCAACACCACCACCACTTACCCAGGCATCTCCAGGTACTTTAAAAGGCTGCAGGTTGGTGGGGCAGCAGTCTCAACAGCCAAAGCCCAACTAAACAATATGGACTGGAGCGCAACACGACAGGGATCATTACTACTACACTAATTACAACGCCAAACTAAATAACCAACACATTAACAACTTATATCAAACATCAACAACTAATAACATCAACAACTTATAACAAACAACATAAATTTAAAGACCAGGTAATTCCACACCACAATATCGCACTTTTTCACATCAGGGCAACACGAGTGTGAAATTACAGGTGAAAGTCAGGTTAATTAGCAGAGCGGCGACCTTCCCTCCCTCCCTCCTCCATTCAGTACACACAAAGAGGACAACAAAAAGTACACACGTATTAACTTTCCCTGAACAATGGTCGTCAAGATGGTGTCGACGTGGACTTTCACATCAATGGACGGTGGGAATACAAGAACCAACCATCACCTACCACGACTACTACCACCATCACCTACCACCATCACCTACCACGACTACTACCACCATCACCTACCACTACTACTATCATCATAACCTACCACGGCTACTACTACCATCACCTACCACTACTACTACCATCATCACCTACCACCATCACCAGTACCACCATTGTATTTTGAATCAGTCGCCAGGTAAAAATGGAAGGTTGACAACAAAAACCACTGGACCCTGGGAACAAAACACACACACACACACACACACACAATGGGAGAAAGCTTAGAAACCTCGATTAAAACACAAACGGTGTGTCTGATCGTTTAGAGACCCCGATTAAGAAAAAACTTGGCAGAAAACTTTAGAAAATGTCACAAAAATAAACAGCAAGGCATAGGAGTAACCTTTAAAACCCTAATTAACTCTCTCTCTCTCTCTCTCTCTCTCTCTCTCTCTCTCTCTCTCTCTCTCGAGGTAACATAAGCAAAATAGACCAATGTCATGCTGGACTTCACACGGCTTTCACTAGTTAAGGTGACGCGGTGACAAGTTCAATGGGTGTTTCACAGCCCTAACCTAACCTGATCGAATTATAACACTGGGGCTGAGTTCTAACAGGCCCCAAACTAACCTAACCAGTCACGTTCCAACCAAACTTGACCGTACACCAACAGGATTGGAGCCCAGTACTAATAGGGTCTGCAGCAATGTTAATAGCATGCAGGTTGACTAGTTTGTCCCGTAAAATCACTGCGAGCTGAACGTTTTTGAGGACAGGAACAGTTATTTCCACGGTGTGACAGTGGCCGGTGCACCATGTTAGGTAAAAAAAGGATGGCAAATTATATGAGGAAGTGAATTGCATTATGGTAAACAAACTTGAGGCTGGAACAGTTAACATAAGAACATAAGAATGGAGGAAACTGCAGCGGGCCTATTGGCCCATACTGGGCAGTCCCGTTTACACCCAACCCCTATTGCTCATATAAGCATCCAACCTATGTTTGAAGCTATTCAGCGTATTCGAGTTAATGATGATATTTGGTAACTTGTTCCATTCATCCACTACTCTGTTTCAGAACCAGTGTTTACCTATTTCACGCCTAAATCTAAATTTGTCTAATTTAAAACCATTGTTACGAGTTCGCTCCTGGTTGGATAGTTTGAGTACCTTTGTAATGTCCCCTTTGTTTAGCCCTGACTCCCACTTATACACCTCTATCAGGTCGCCCCTCGCTCTACGTCTCTCGAGGGAGTGCAAATTAAGATGCTTTAACCTGTCTCTATACTCAAGGTTCCTAATGCCCGGGATTAGTCTTGTCATTCTCCTCTGAATTCTTTCTAATGATTCTATATCCATTCTGTAATACGGTGACCAGAACTGAACTGCGTAATCCAGGTGTGGTCTCACAAGCACAAGATACAGTTTTAGGATGACCTCGCTAGTCCTGTAACTAACACTCCTTTGTATGAACCCAAGTACTTTATTAGCCTTGTTACGAGCAAAAACACATTGTTTACTTGGCTTAAGGTTCCTACTTATCATTACTCCTAAATCTCTCTCACAGTCGGATTTCTCTATGGCATCGTTGTTCATCTGGTATCTGGTTTCCCTGTTTACATCTCCTATACTGAGTACTTTCCATTTGTCCACGTTGAATTTCATCTGCCATTTTTCAGACCATTCGAAAAATTTGTTTAGATCTTCCTGTAGTTTTGCGGAGTCCTCGTCAGATTTAATAACACGTCCTATTTTAGTGTCATCAGCAAATTTACTTATGTTGCTGTCTATGCCGATATCTATGTCGTTTATGTATATAATAAATAATAATGGTCCAAGTACTGAGCCTTGTGGAACTCCACTTGTGATGTTGCTCCAATGGGACTTAGTGCCGTTAATGCTCACTCACTGTTTTTCCTGTCCTGTAACCACGCCCTAATCCATTTAAGGATGTTACCTTTGATGTCATGTGCTTCTACCTTTCTAATTAGTCTTTCGTGGGGGACTCTGTCGAAGGCTTTGCTAAAGTCGAGATATACCACATCATAATTGTGCCCCTCGTCCACCGATTCGAAAACTGATGAAAAGAATGTTAATAGATTAGTTAGACATGAACGTCCGCTTGTGAAGCCATGCTGGGAATCATTGATCAATCGGTGCTTCTCCAGGTGATTTCGAATAGAGTTTGAAATGATTGCTTCCAGTAATTTGCCTACTATTGATGTTAGACTGATTGGGGTAGTTAGAGGATAGTGATCTATCCCCTTCTTGAAAATCAGTATTACATTCGCTATCCTCCAGGATTCTGGTACTACACCTGTTTTTAAGGACATGTTAAACAACTTTGCTAAGGGCATACTAAGCTCTTCCTTACATTCCTTTAATACTCTGGCAAATTTATCTCATCGGGACCAGGTGGCTTATTAGGCTTTAGTTTGTCTATTTGCTTACTAATATCGTTACTAGTCACTACTATCTCGCTTAATTTGTTTTCTTCACTATCTCTGAATAGAGTCAGTGCCTCGGGTATCATGTTTAAATTTTCGGTGGTGAAAACTGTTGAAAAATATTTATTCAAATTATTGCTCATTTCTCCGTCGTTATCAGTGAGCGCGCCAGTATCTGACCGTATTGGTCCAATCTTTTCTCGTGTATTAGTTTGATACATTTGGTAGAATCCTTTGGGGTTTGTCTTCGCCTCCCTTGCTATCCTTAACTCATTATTCCTCTTGGCTTTTCTCATCTCGGATTTAACTCTACTCGCCAATATCTTATAATAATCCTGGAGGTAAATTTCGCCACGCTTTATGAGAGAAGTGTCGCATTCAAGTAAACAAGTAGTAGTAGTAGTAGTAGTAGTAGTAGTAGTACCAGGAATGTCTACAACACAGGTGACACAACACGGTCTAGAGCCAAGTATGATACATCACTAGTACCTTAACCACACCACACCTCACAACACCTGGGCGAAAAATATCCAACACACAGGTGAGGCAAGAAACGTTCCCGGGGTCGACTTACCGCTGCTACAAATATCTTCAAAGCAATCGGTCGACTATAAAATGGTGTTGGGGTCATTCTGCATCATTTTCTAGATAACAAAATTCTGAGGGACTTTTTTTTTATTTCCTCAAGTGGCGGTGATGGTGCAGGTGGTGACAGTAGAGGTGGTGATAGTGGTGGTGATGGTGATAGTGGTGGTAGTGGTGGTGGTGGTGGAGTAGGTGGGGCAGCGGCAACAACACCTTTGACTCCCTTACCTGCAGACCTGCTGTGCACATCAGGAGAGTCGTGCTAAAATAAGAGCAGGGAAGCTTACTCATCACCTGTACCGCCCTCACCACTCTTAACCAGACAGTATACCAGTCTTAACCTAACCTAACCTAAGCTAAGCTAACCTAACCCCTTCAGCAGTAACTTCTCATTATCAAGGCTACGAGTGATGGAGAGCCGCTGCACTTCCTTCCATCCTTCTGTACCACCATAACGATAACACCATCAACAGCCGACATTTTCCATAAACTGTTTATCTTGTGGACGGACGCGACTGTGAGCTTAATGGTGCTTCGTGGAATTCCGATGTACAGTTGGGTGGGTGTGTGTTCCTATCTACTGAAGGTAAACATACCCACCCGTCCACTACTATCTCTGTGCCCCTCCCCCCCTCTCTTGTCACAGTCCCGTCCGTGCCCACCTGAATAATAGCCTCGTCCCCTCACGTCTATTACCGTTCTCGCCACCGTCTCCCGCCCACGCTCCACGCCCACACTGTCCTCCGCCCAGGCTCCACATCCACATAGTCCACTGCCCACGCTCTACAACAATACCGTCTCACGCCCATGCTCCACGCCCATCCATCCTCTAAAACTGTATTTTGCGCTTGTGAGACCACACCTGGATTACGCAGTTCAGTTCTGGTCACCGTATTACAGAATGGATATAGAATCATTAGAAAGAATTCAGAGGAGAATG